TGCCAAAGATACTTGTAACCCAGCCGGAGCCGGGCGGTAGTGACATCCAAGAGTCTGCTTATTTTGTTGGATGCACCATAGACATGTGGCTCCTCCTGCATGATAGAATGATGATAGATGGACTCACTGGTGTCAATCTCCCTGAGCCTTAAGTCCATAAAATCAGCTGAAGTTCTTTTCGTATTATTGTTCTCAAACTACTACCTGACAAGCCAAGATTGTAATCTACCCCCCTCTTTGAAAGCATACAGTTTACCCCAATTTATCATTTCTATAAAGCATCTGAAGACCAATGGAATGGAATCCACAGCTGTGCATCTGACCCCCACTGTCCAAAAACCTATCGAAGGGGGACTTTTTTTGCGACCTAGGTGCCCCCAAATTCCTACTTGTCTAACTGTAAATAAAAATTATTTTTGTTCTTTTAAACTTTTATGTATAAAAATGAACATTCAATAAAGAAATTTTCCCCAAACCCAGTCACCCCCCTCCAGAAATTTTTCTTGATGCTGTTGTGTGGGCTTTTTGTCCAAGGAACTGCACTTTATCACCTTCCTTGGCCCGAGCTTGATGCGTTAATTCTTAAGGATCTGTAGTGCTCTCTACTGTTTACGCTTCCTCAGGGGGAAAAAGTCCACCGTCCCGGGTCAGACTGGGGGTATTTCTTTTGTACCCTTTTGGGCCTTAGTTATGTTTAAAGAATTTGTTGTGGGTTGAAGCCTGTCCCCGGATTATAATTATAATAACTTACATTTAAATTGGATTTGATAAATGTGAGGCAAAATTAAAAAAAAAAAGGGCCCCATGAAATATCTTTTTGTAACTTTTTTGGGTTATTCTAAGTAATTTACCCAGGATGATTACACATTTATTATGTATAAAAATTGCAAATTAGTGTGCCTAAATAAACCATTTTTTATTATTATAGTGTTGACGCGGGCAGGAAGGTGTGAGACAGACACTGCAGGAACACAACCCAATTTTTTAATTTTTTTTATGGGTTCAGCCCAGTTTTTTAGATATATGCAGACTTTGCGGCCCAAAAGCAAAGACCTTATTAACTTTTTCAAAATGCCTTTGGGACGTAACCTGACACAGTTTTAAAGAAGTTTAACCGTGTTAATGTGATAAAAACTTCATGCCACCCTGTACGTGTTGCTGCCCTCATAACACTGATCACTACACTCCAAAAAATACCCTCGGGGAAGGTTCCCTTGAGTTGTGACGGGGCCCTTTATTTAAGGAAATTTGGGTCTTTTCCCATTCCCCGAAATTAAACCTGAATGCCTTCACAACCCCCCAAACGCTGTAACCCACAGTTTTTGCGCTTCCCCTTGGGTTATAATAATAATAATATAATCCAAAAATATAATAAATATATTCAAATTGTGGTTTTCACTGGGGACTTTTTGGGAAGTTCTGCCATAAGTGTTTCATAGCTGTGAAGGAAAAATTTTGATATACTGGGATTTGGGAAATTTAGATAGATTACTGGATTTGGGGAAATTTTTGATACATATACTGGAATTTTGGAAAAATTTTAAATTAAATGGGGTTTGGGGAAATTTTGATAGATATACTGGGATTTGGGAAAATTTAGATATATTTACAAGGATTTGGGGAAAATTTAGGTATACGGGGTTTGGGGGAAATTTTGATTACAGGGATTTGGGAAATTTTTAAAATTTCAGGGTTTTGGGAAATTTAGATACCTGGAGTTTACCTGGAGAGAGTTCCGGGGGTCAACGCCCCCGCGGCCCGGTCTGTGACCAGGCCTCCTGGTGGATCAGAGCCTGATCAACCAGGCTGTTGCTGCTGGCTGCACGCAAACCAACGTACGAGCCACAGCCCGGCTGATCCGGAACTGACCTTAGGTGCTTGTCCAGTGCCAGCTTGAAGACTGCCAGGGGTCTGTTGGTAATCCCCCTTATGTGTGCTGGAAGGCAGTTGAACAGTCTTGGGCCCCTGACACTTATTGTATGGTCTCTTAACGTGCTAGTGACACCCCTGCTTTTCATTGGGGGGATGGTGCATCGTCTGCCAAGTCTTTTGCTTTCGTATGAGTGATTTTCGTGTGCAAGTTCGGTACTAGTCCTCTAGGATTTTCCAGGTGTATATAATCATGTATTTCTCCCTCCTGCGTCCAGGGAATACAGGTTTAGGAACCTCAAGCGCTCCCAATAATTGAGGTTTTTTTAATCTCCGTTATGCGCGCCGTGAAAGTTCTCTGTACATTTTCTAGGTCGGCAATTTCACCTGCCTTGAAAGGTGCTGTTAGTGTGCAGCAATATTCCAGCCTAGATAGAACAATTTGACCTGAAGAGTGTCATCATGGGCTTGGCCTCCCTAGTTTTGAAGGTTCTCATTATCCATCCTGTCATTTTTCTAGCAGATGCGATTGATACAATGTTACGGTCCTTGAAGGTGAGATCCTCCGACATGATCACTCCCAGGTCTTTGACGTTGGTGTTTCGCTCTATTTTGTGGCCAGAATTTGTTTTGTACTCTGATGAAGATTTAATTTCCTCATGTTTACCATATCTGAGTAATTGAAATTTCTCATCGTTGAACTTCATATTGTTTTCTGCAGCCCACTGAAAGATTTGGTTGATGTCCGCCTGGAGCTTTGCAGTGTCACAAATGGAAGACACTGTCATGCAGATTCGGGTGTCATCTGCAAAGGAAGACATGGTGCTGTGGCTGACATACTGGGATTTGGGTTGTATCTTGGTCTCTTGATAGGCATAATACATTTATTTCGTTAAGTTTCACTAGGTATAAGTTTACATTTTTTCCCCAAAACTATGTGAGGAAAATTGCATTTACTTGGATGTATAATTATATACATAACAGTAAATGAACAATGATAACTTATTTATCAGTTAGACAAGTAGGAATTTGGGACACTTAGGTCACAAAAAATGTCCCCCTTCGATACCTACCACTGTCATATCCACAAGTTGCTCTGGACCTATTAATTAAATGAAATATACATACACCAGGAATGCTGGTAAATATATAAATTTGTGGACTGTATATTAAAAATAATAAATGGTTATATATATACACAATTACATAACAGAAGGAAAATATATCTTAATATCACTCACCAATTTGACTGGAGATTAATGTGTCATGTACTGGACCCCCCCTTTTGCCTACATTTATGAAAATTTTACTGGCCAGAAATTAAACGTAAATTAGACAGCTTATCTGAGGTTCCTGGAGTTGTCCTGTCCTGTCGCCTGATATCTCAAGTTATGCAGGAATGCACATCCAACAATTTCGCCAACTATTTGAGAGGTGTCAGCCCAATTTTAACCTCTAGAGCACGAAAATTCCTTCCCATTACACTAACGTTGTATCCAATTCAAATTAACAATGGCGACTGTCCTTCTGCGCAGACGCAGGTCCAGTTTACCATTTTCCATGATATAATTCTTTTAAATAGAGTATGGCCATCTATTTACATATAAATTACCATATTTCCGGAAAATATACAGTATTTTCCACACTATGCATATAATTGCTATAAGAATACGTGGGTGGTAAATTATGTAGCTAGGGTAATATAGATATCGGGTCTTTTTGAGAAATCACATATGCAGTGTGTACTAGGCACACACTGCTGTTCTGCAAATTATTATTATTTTGAGAGACATCAAAAATAAATTTATTTAGGGCCATTCACTGGTTAGTATTGATGCTCCTGACCAGTCACATTGAGCATTAATAAAGGCTGATAGTATAGTTAATTTATTCAGGTATACACAGATACAGTTACATATTATCATACATAGCAACATATGTGTAGAGAACCTAGGATAACTCAAAAAAAAGTCAAAGTGACATATTTCCGTTGGGGTCCTTTAATTTCCATTGGGGTGCTTCTAGGTTTAGCACTTCTTTTTTATTGTAGAGTAATAATAATAATAATAATAATAATAATAATAATAATAATAATAATAATAATAATAATAATAATAATAAAGACTGGTCAAATATAAATGAAGGCATTCTGGTCCCACATCTACTACTGGCAGAGCAAGATTGTTAGGTTAGTTTAGGTTGTGCTATTTTTGGGTTTTATTACATTCAAATTCAAAGTTTATTCTCTATAAGGATTACAATGCTGAGTTTATAGAATTTGGTTATTGTGTGGTTTACATGTATTAATATTCAACATTTTTAGGAGTAAATTTCTGCCAAACTCACATGAAGGACCACAGTTCCATAATTACTTATGGCTATAGCCTAGAATAACACCAAAACAGTTTTTCAATGACTTAACATTTGGGTCTTCACATATAATTTTTATTTACATTTTCTTTATAATTTTGAAATAAAAAAACAGTGAACAACATTAGAAGAACTTCAAGAAATTCTTACTCTATTCAAGTGGAAAAACCGTTTACAATTTCAATCAAGTTATTTTAAAGTTGACAGCACACCAGACAGCAGCATTGACAATTACAAATAAAAAAATATAATGAGTAATAGAGTGAATCATTGCTGATCACTTTCCTTTAACAAACCAATCGTTTGGTCTTGATAGATTTTTTTTTTTTAATGTTTATAGTTTCATGAAATAATGTAAATAGCATGAATTCTTTGTCATGGCAAGAACATACAAGAAACATTGTAGTACTTAATTTTAGGTGCAAATTTATACCCTTGTCTAGTACATTTTTATTTTGACCTCATATATACAGTAATATGAAACTTTTGCAGTTGTGTTATGTAGTAAATTATGTAGAATTTCACTTAGAATAACTAAATATATTAGAACAAATTAAACAAGTACTGTACTTATTTTAATGTTAGGTTAAGTTAGGTAAGGTTTGTCAGGAAACAGGTTAATTTAAGTGTTTCTTGACTTGGGTCTTAGTCATATGATGACCCATAGCTGGAGCTTTTGGTCATCTAACCAAGGTCTTCTGCTGGCTTACTGGTCCACCCCCTTTAAAAATTCAGCCTGGTGGCTAAAGCTCTCACCTCACATGGCGAGGGTCCAGGTTCGAGTCCCAGCGAGGGTAGAAACATTGGGCGTGTTTCTTTACACTGGTCGTCTATGTGCCCCGTCAGTAAAATGGGTACCTGGGAGTTAGTCAACTGGTGTGGGTTGCATTTTGGGACAAAACTGGCATAATTTGCTTGAAATGCTCTGCATAACAAGCGGGTTTCTGTGTAGTAGAAAGTATGTGTCATTGATGTCAACTAGGTCTGTGTACCTTGTACATGTACTTCTAGAAATAGATATTATTATTATGTTTTGTGTACAATCATTCCTTTTCAGAGGCTATAAATGCTGTTACTTTGCAAGGAAGGTGCTGTGATGCAGTAAAGGCTCTTGATTCAAGGAATTAGAGCTATCCTTATCTTCCTTGGATCAAAACTGGTTATTTAATTTTATTTTTTAAAAGTTTGCATTAAAAATACCTTTCCCTTGATTGCTCAAGAGTACGTCACTGTATTTTCAAGAATTTATTTTATCATTTTTACCAATTTAAATTTCACTTCATGAGCTGAGCTCTAACCTAAGGCAACATAAAAAGTTATATAAATAAGGCATTAAAATCATATGTTAAAAAATAATGGCCATGAGCTGGTTCTTGAATATTCATAAATATTCAGGTATTTGTTTTAGTTTTTCAATCAAATTTATGAAAACCTAAAACTTAAAGTTACTATGTACTTGTTACCAATTTCCATCTTAAGTCAGCAATAACTTTTGTTTAAATTCCAGGTTAATCCTCGGGATGCATTACCACACCAGGTGTGTGGCCCTTGTGTGGCTAAGTTGGATGAAGTGGTGGAGTTTATGGATATCAGCCAGGCCACACAAAATAAACTGAAAAATCAATTAAAAGGTATGTAACAAATGTGCACTTTTTGAAAATAGAAATTTATTTTTGTACAGTACTGTACTGTACTTTGAAAGCTTTGGTTAATTTTTCAGTGATATGGTTCATAAGCTTACATTATACAGTGGACCCCTGGTATACGATATTAATTCGTTCCTGAGAGCTCATCGTATGCCAAAATTATCAGAAGGCGAATTAATTTTCCCCATAAGAAATAATGGAAATCAAATTAATCCGTGCAAGACACCCAAAAGTACTATGAAAAAAAAAGTTTTACCACATGAAATATTAAATTTAATGCACACAAACTGAAGAATACATGCATAGTCTGTAGTACTCTACTAACAGTAGAATACACCTACCATCCGACTTACGACCTGCTTGACTTACGACCACTCGACTTACGACCGTGTTTTTTATGCCAAATTTCTGGGAAATAAACAACTATTTGTATTGTACACAGTGTTTATCCTAAACCTTACAGTATAAAATACAGTACTAACAACATAAAAAGTAAAGTAAAACATGAAATACCAAAATAATACAATAAAATAAAGTCATTACAAAAATGTTTTGTTGATATTAAGTAGTAAAGTTCGACTTACGACCATTTTGACTTACGACCGGTTTCTCGGAACCGAACTCGGCCGTAAGTTGGATGGTAGGTGTACATGACACTTACCTTTAATGAAGATCCTCATGCAACTTCCTAGCCTTTTCGCATATGATCGCTTGAGAGATGCTATCTCTTGCTATCTGTTTTTCATTTATCCACACCAATAACAGTCTCTCAACATCATCTAACATTTGCGATCTCTGTTTCGAAAACAGACATGCACCTTTTTGCAAGAACAGCTTTCTTGATTGCCATTTTCCTGGCCACTGTAGTAGCAATGGTTGGTTGGGGTTTTGTATAGAACCTGGCCAGCTCCGACACACGCACTCCACTTTCGTACTTTGCAGTTATCTCTTTCTTCATTTCAATAGTCATTAGCACCCTTTTTCTCGAAGGGTTGGCACTAGAAGCTTTCTTGGGGCCCATGGTGACTTATTTTGCAGAAACAAGCACCAAAAACACTGTGATAATATGGAATGTACCAAATGTATGCTTAGATGCGAGCACACTGGCTGGCTTGTAAACACTGGCATGCATGGGGCAGTTCAGGCCACATGTGGACGCGTCCCGGACGAATCGCGTGTGGCGGATTTTTTAACGAGTGGCGAGGCAAAATTTTTGCGTTAAAATGTATCGTATACCAGATTTAACGTATACCAATGCCATCGAATGCCAGGGGTCCACTGTATTATGGTATTATGAGTAAAGTACAATGTATAAAGCATTTTTTTTTATAAATGTGTCATACTGCATATGTTTTAATGCATGAAGACTGCTCAAAAGTTAAACTGAATGTACAGAATATATAAGATGCAACATAACGTTCTACTTTTCTGCTTGTCTTGCAACCCATGCATACATACACAGTGTATATCACACATACTAACTGTGAATATAGAATACTCTACTGCTTTGTATATTTATTTCTAAAGTTTAGATTTCATTGATCTGCAGAATGTTCTTTGGAAAGCAACCATCGGATACCTGAAGATCGTCTTTACGAGCTTATCCAAGATGTTAAAGTTGAGCTCGAAGAGACTGATGCTCATTTTATTGATAATATCAGTGATGAAGATTTTGGTTAGTAAAGACTTTGAAATTTTGTTGATGATTATCATTATAAATTTAACCTTTCCAGCAAAAGGAAAACTTGCTCGCAGTCATTGATTTAGAGGATCTCCCAACTTAAGATACCACGTTACGACCATCTGCACTTACAAATGGGGCACTTAATGTCGAATTACAATTTTATTATTGCTGACCTGCAGTTACAAATGTGTGAAACATTTGTGCTACTGTTTTCTATAAGAAAACAGGATGGGCATTTAAAACAACTTTGGAAGAGTTACCAAGGAAGTCCTGCTACCTGGCAGCAACAGGAATAATGCTGACAGTTATGTTTATGAAGATGTACATACAGAACAAGCTTTTATCAGGACATTGTTTCATTCTGGGTTGAGCTTTATCAAGTTATGACTTTATAAAACTCTACCTGAGTTAGAGGTTTCCCAATAAGGGCTTTTTCTGCATATTGTCTTCATACCCATAATGAAAACAATTGAATTTTGCTTATACAGTATTCAATACAGTGTATGTTGAAATTACAGTTATTGTACATGTAGTTTTTTGTTTTAGCTGGGTACCTGGTGGTGCCCCAGGCACAGCCAGTCAGGCGAGCTTATCTCTGTATACAGCAGACGTGTAATTGAAGATGCCAATAAACTCTAGTTATGTTACGTACTCATTTTTCACATACTCGTATACGTGGTGTAGACTCCTGTGATGCTTGTATTAAAGAAAAAGACTTTGATAGCTAGTTTCTATTACTGTAATAAAATGGAAGAAATGTGAAGAAAATTAAAATAATGTATTTACAGTACTTAATTCATGTTTATTTTCTTGAATCAGATGCACGTACTAGGAGAGGTCGAAGAAGCCGGGCAAAACATGTACGTGGGCATCTTGCAGCTACCAAAGGTTAAGTTTTATGTGGAGCAGTGGGAGTGTAAGATGAGGGCAAAAGGGGCATTTGCCCTACTGTCCTCAGGTATGATGGGGCTCCAAGGCTCAATTTTATATAAAAAGTGCTTTATTGGAACAAAAAGAATATTCTCAATTTCAGATTGATTTTTTTTATTATACATTATTTTGAATTGTATACGCTAAGAGAACAATTATTAAGTGGGGAGAGATCAGTGTGCCACCTTTATTCGCTTTTTGTTTTCAGACGAAGACAGCTTAGTTATATCTTCTGAATTAGCTTCCTAGTCCTATCTTGACCTGTCAAATAATTTTTTGCATGTTCCTCTGCCCTGGGAAGCTAAATGAATCTAGATAGTCTAGAGCATTTACTGACTTCGTAATAATAATAATAATACTCCATGGGAAAATGGAAAAGTATTCTTCCTCCGTAAGCCATGCATGTCATGAGGCAACTAAAATGCCGGGAGCAAGGGGCTGGTAACTCCTTCTCCTGTATAAATTACTGTTAAGGTCACCCTGCCTCGGTGGGATATGACTGGTTTGTTGAAAATAATAATAATAATAATAAAAAATTTTCTCCATGGGAAAGTGGAACAGAATTCTTCCTCCATAAACCATGCGTGTTGTAAAAGGCGACTAAAATGCTGGGAGCAAGGGGCTAGTGACCCCTTCTCCTGTATACATTAATAGAGTTAAAAAGAGAAACTTTTGTTTTTCTTTTTGGGCCACCCTGCTTTGGTGGGATACAGCCGGTTTGTTGAAAGAAGAAAGAAGAAGAAAAAAATTTACAATGGATACCTTTTTGTCATTGTTTACAAAGCACATGCAGCTATACCATTAAAATTGATCAAAAAAAAAAAAATGACGTACAGTACTTAAGATGTAGCTTTTCTTCTACACAGGCCCTTGTGGTACACAGTTATCAAAATCAAAAACCACGCTTTTGCTTCATGAACAAGATATAACTGAAGTAAAGAAAGATAATGGTGGAGACAGCACAAATGATCTTTCTCTGAAGCATAAAGAGATACAAGATGAAAACAAAGCAGTATGGACTGAGGAAGAACCTGGAGAGAAAGATAATGTTTTGTTAGCAAGAGAGATGGTGAGTTTGAAATTATATTATTGTACAGTATTTTTTTTTTTAAATAAATTTTCTGCTTCTATTATAGCACTTTATCACATGTATATTGTGACTTATATATACATTGAAACATAATTGTGCAAAATTGGGACCAAGTATTTGCTGTATTGATGAATTTAGCAGTTTTTCAAAACTTCACTGTTGAATTTTGAGCAAATAGTATTGTGTGTCATTCAACATGACTTGTCATAATATACTGTAAACTAACCAAATTCTTTACTACATGGGCAGTTTGTCACTAAGGCAGGGTGACCCAAAGAAGGAAAATACATTTATCATAACTCATTCTCTGGCTGTCTTGCCAGAGAATGAGTTATGATAATTTACACACAAATAACCTGCATATAGGAGAAAGAAACTTATGTTGACGTTTTGGTCCTACTGAGATGATTAACCCTTTGACTGTTTACGACGTATAAATACGTCTTACGAGCCAATGTTTCTGATGTATTTATACGCACAAATTCTAGCGGCTTCAAATCAAGCGGGAAAGGCCTGGTAGGCCTACATGAGAGAGAATGGGTCTCAGTGGTCGGTGTGCACCCTGTGAAAAAAATCTGGGACCCAGCAGTGCATTGTGGGAATGCCATCTTGTTAGTCCATATTCACCATGCCTCTCGGTAAGAAGTTCCTCACTCCTCGGCGGATTGGAGGTCTTTTGTTCCCAAGTGATAGCTCTAACAGCGATGAAAATGTCAGTGACAGTGAATTCCAGGGTTTTGAAGTGAGTGTTACCGGAAAAAGTGCCCAGGATAACGTAATTAGTGATGAAAACCCAGATGACCCACAACCTTCCACCTCTGGTGCTGGGCCGGCTTGTTCACGTTCACGTTCGCCTGTACCAGGACGAAAGGGGAAACTATTTGGTCGTGTACAACACCCAGATGATAGCAGTGAATGTGAGTGATAGTGATTTCAAGGTCATTGAAAGCAGTTCTAGTGACAGTGAGGGTGAACATTCCCCAGTGAAGCGGCAGTATGTACGACGTAGCATGCGGTCTGGTAGTGTTTCATACGTTGTTCCAAGGGGAAGGAGAAACTCTGGGAGCACATCCCGTGGCCCTACACCACTGACCTGATAGTGAAGATGACGATATTGTAACGATGGGTATGAATGATGTGAGTGAGGGAGCAGGCAGTGGTGGTGATAGTGAGGGTGGCACGGCTCATGTGGCACCATCAGCGGGCCACGCTACTACCCACGCTGCTGACTCTGCACAACAACCAGCCTCACCTGACCCCACACTCCCACAACCTGCACTCCCACAACCTGCACAACCACAACCTGCACAACCACAACCACAGTACAATATCCAGACCCCACCAGCAGACCACATCTGGGATTGGCAGGACGGTGACGAGTTTGTTCCCATTCCCCATGACTTTGATTAAACAAAGTGGAATAAAGCCATCATGTCCACTTGGGAACAATGCCAGTGAACTGGACTGCTTTGAGTTATTCTTCGATGAACCCCTGATGGACATCATTGTCAGGGAAACAAACACATACTGTGATTACAACATGGCAAATGCAATTCTCTCACCAAAATCACGGCTACACAAGTGGAAGGAGACAACTGTAGCAGAGATGTACCTGTTTTTTGCCACAATAATGCTTATGCCACATGTGTATAAGCACACTGTCACCACATACTGGGCAACAGAATGCCTGATTTCAACTCCAGGTTTTAGTGACATTATAGGTGTCAATCATTTCCTGATACTGTTACGTATGTTACACTTTTCAGACAAAACCAGGCCTGACAGAAGCGACAGGTTATATAAGATAAGAAATGTGTTTATGTACCTGAAACAAAAGTGCTGCATGTATTTTTATCCCTTCAGGAAGCTTGTTATTGATGAGTCCTTGATTTTATTCAAAGGAAGACTCTCATTCAAGCAATATATACCAAGCAAGAGGAAACGCTTTGGTATAAAGCTATTTGTACTGTGTGATTGCAGAAGTGGTCTAGTTTTGGATATCATTGTGTACATTGGCAGTAATACTTTGAGAGATACCATGAAGTTATTGGGTAACTCTGGTGATGTGGCTTGAACAATGATGGAACCATATCTTGGTAAGGGGCATATGTTATTTACTGATAACTGGTACACAAGCCCCGTACTCAGTGATTTCTTGCGAGTGAACTTGACAGACGTGTGTGTGGCACAGTGCGTCGTAATCGTAAACATATGCCAAGGTTCGACGCTGGCACTCGCAGAGGTGAGGTGCAAGCCTTTGCTGCCAATGACATCAAGGCATTTCGGTGGCATGACAAACGTGATGTCACATTATTGACATCAGTTCACTGAAACGAAATGGTACACAGTGGCAGGCACAACAGAGAGACCAATGAACCCATTCTAAAGCCTGCAGCTGTCATGGACTACAACCTCAATATGCGCTTAGTGGACAAATGTGACATGCAGATTGGGTTTGCAGACTGTGTATGCAAGAGTTATAAGTGGTATATAAAACTTTTTTTCCATCTTGTTGATACCTCTATGCTGAATGCTTATAACATATACAAGTTGAAGAACAACAAAACACCAAAATATGGTGAATTTTGCTTGTCAGTAATCAGACAAATAATTGCAAAGTACCAAGGAGCAACACCTGCAGTAGACCAGCGCCCATGAAATTACCAACACACGTCATCTCGTTTCAGGCCTGGTGATCACTACCCCATGCAACTGCCTCCTACTACTGCCAAGAAAAATGCTCAGAAGAGGTATTATGTATGTATGCATACCACAAAACGCCCACAAACACGCAGAGACACTCGTTTTATGTGTGAGGAGTGTCAAGTGCCCCTCTGCATATACCCATGTTTCAAAGAGTTCCACAAGCTGCAGCAGTTCTAGGAACATGTTTAGTGACTGTACATATGTATATATATATTATGGAACAATAGTAATAAACATTGTTTTGTATTGTTTGTTTGTGTAAACAAAGTGTATACACAAACTAATAGTGATAAAGTTTGTTCTGTTATTGTGTTGTAAACAATGAGTGTATATTTGAAGAATGCACCTTACATTGGTCTCACAGGCCACATAAGTTACCTGGAACAGAAAAATATTGAAAAATGCAAGAAACCTTTGAATTAAAGTAAATAAAAGTGTTGAATGATGATGAAAGTATTTTCTTTTTGGGGATTTTCTTTCTTTTTTGGGTCACCCTGCCTCGGTGGGAGACGGCCGACTTGTTGAAAAAAAAAAAAAAAAAAAAAAAAAAAAAAAAAAAAAAAAAGAATACCGGGTGGGCGGCAGTCACCGCTGTTGCCGTACACACGTCACTTTCTGCAAACTTTGCGGCTCTATATCTCGGTAAGTACTGATGGCAAAAAATTTTTTTTAGGCTTAAAACACTTGGAAAAATATTCCTAACATTTTCATAAGAAAAAATAATTTTTTTTTTCGAATATTTGGCGACATAGAATGACAGTTTTAGAGAGGAGCCTGAAACAGTCAAAGGGTTAACTAGTCACACATTAACACATGGAGGGAAGGGATCCAGTATATATATGAGAGGGCAGAGATTGTACAAAGAGAGGAAGAAGAAAGAAGGAAGTGGTGGTAGTAGTACTGGTAGTAGTAGTGGTACTAGTAATGGTAGTAATAGTAGTCCACTGAGTTGCAACATGCAATATCCTTAGCCATCCTTCAGTGTGCAGGTGCTGTCTTTTCCACCTCCACTATGTTTTGTTTCTTGCAGTGAGTTTTAAATAGATGTAGGCATTAGAGAGAAGGGTGAGGTGGGTGTACTCACCTATTTGTGGATGCAGGGGTCGAGTCTTAGCTCCTGGGGTGTGTGGGTATGTGTGCACGTGCATGTGTGTGCTTACATACATGTGTGCATGTTGTATATATTGATATGTTGCAACAGTTGCAAACAAATGATCAGTAATGCACAGCAGTCACTAGGAGGAATGATGCTGCTCTAGGCCTTTTGTGCTGCAATTGCAAATACTTCTTCAGGAGCAGTGCAATGAAGAGGAATGGAATGGAATTCAGGAGAGCCCAAGCAGTCCTTGCTTGTATGAAAATTTTGTTAAGTACTGTACTTTTCAGATAGTCTCAAGGATAGCAAGAAGAAACTTTTTAAGGTTTTAGAAATTAAAATCAAGTGTAAGTGAAGAGAGGCAGGTAAAATCCATGTTTTTCTGAAGGAAGTTAATGAGACAAGCTAGGCATACCCTAGCCCTGTATATCACATTATAGAACTGTTTAGTAAGGCGAGTAGGAGGATTAGTTTAAAAAGGAGTTATGTTAAGTTTCAGAATGAAGGAACATGTATGTAAGGATGTGAATAGGAATACGTACTGTAATGTGGTTTTTGTTAAGATTTTTTAATCAAACTTTTATTATAATGAAAGGTGTGTACTATATTGTACTGTGCTTTCTCATGTACAGTATACCTTCTCAAAATGTGTGAGTTGTGCTCCTAGAAACTCAGTGCAAAACATAAAATGGCATTATGTGAAATGTAAAACATATTAGAAAGATGAGGTTATGTTCCAATACCGCCAAATTTGGCTAATAATTTATTTTTGCTATTCGATAAAAATGACTACTATTGCATAATTTATCTTACATTGAATGCTCAAGTATGTTTACCCCAGAAAACTTGTTATGCAGTTGATTGCATATTTAAAATTTTCGAAGCATCCACCACTCAACATGTACTGTAGCGAATGCTTTCCTTCCTTCTTATGTAATGTTATAGTATAATAGGTCTCTATGGCCTTGTTATCTGAGCACTACATGGTACCCCTCTGCTTTTTTCCCTTAGTCCGAACATTCAATAACTTTACTGTCTAATTTAGCTCTAATGACCTCTAAATTTTTTTTGGAGCAGATGACAATCTAAACTACTAAAGGCACAAGCTCTTATTTTTTCCTCACTGTTTCTAATTATATGAGTAGTTGATTAATTTACACAAAACTCATGGTCAGTTTCCATTACACATACACCACCTTTAACCCCTTCAGGGTCCAAGGCCCAAATCTGAAGTGGTGCCCCAGTGTCCAAGAATTTAAAAAAAAAAAATTTGTTATTTTTTCTTATGAAATGGTAGAGAATCTTTTTGTGAAGGTAATAAAACAAAAAGTACAAAATTTGATGAAAAATTGACGAAATTATGCTCTCACGAATTTTGACGTGTCAGTGATATTTACGAATTGGCGATTTTGCCAACTTTGACTCCCATTTTAGGCCAATTACATTATTTCAGTCAACCAAATTCTTAGCTATTTCACTAGTATTACTTCTATTCTATCGATTGAGCACAAGAAATCGCCAAGTCAACTGTTTCAACTACAAATTAAAGTGATCGGAAATTGTTAATTTGGCCAATTTAACACAAAGTTCAAAGTATTCCAATTTCAAAATAGGGTCCAGAATAAACAATGTAGGTATTCCTGGAACTAAACTAACATTTCCTCTGTTCATTAGTTACATTTTGAGGCTTTACAAATAAATTCCATTTTGATTTTTTATTCACATAATGAATTTTTATTCACACCAAAAAATAGAAGATTTACTGTTATGCAATACTGTAATAATTGTATAAATATCATCACCATATTTGTGAATGCATATTAGACCCACCAGCTGGCGTGTATTAGACGTGTGAGGTCGTTTGTTTACTCTTGAATATCGGCAAAAATTTAACATTTCTGCTACTTTGAGCTCAGTTTCAAGCCATTTCCAGTGCTAAAACCAATCAAAATCATCCTATTTCTGTAATATGTCTTCCATTCTATCAAATGAGACCAAGAAATCGCAAATACAACTATAAAAAACATATGAAAAAACACTGCAAAGTTGCTGTTTTAATTGAAAAATCATGATTTCAGTTTTTTTTCTCTCATTATACACAGTGTGCTGCAGGATCTGTTTTATGTGGTGCACACATACCACATAGATGTATTCTCTCATATCTAGGCCCAAATGTACCACTCACAGTTTATCAGAGTGAGCTGAGCTCATGACGTAGATTTACGGTTTGGACCCTGAACGTAAAGCCGTAGATCTACGGGACGGACCCTGAAAGGGTTAAGCCTAGGTTACCCAATGCTTCCATTTTCTTCAACAGAGTACTGGTTATAGATTGTACTTATTTTTTTTCTTACCTCCAGCATCACTAGTTTTCCTATTGTTAATATCCAGATACCAGATTTCTTTTTTAACACATTGGCTATCTCCCACAGAGGCAGGGTGACCCCAAAAAAGAAAGAAACACTTTCACCATCATTCAACACATTCACTATCAATGGAGTGTGAGCAAGGTAGTATTTTGTGAAGGGATTCAGGGAAACTGGTTAGCCAGAGTTAGGAGTCCTGGAGGTGGGAAGTATAATGCCTATGCTTTAAAGGAGGGGTTTGGGATATAGGGATATTGGCTGTGGTATCTGGGTGCATCTGCAAAAGAGACCAGATATAGTGGTGAAAAATAACCAGCATAACTTGACAAACACAGATTGAGGCACAAAATTGCAACTGTAGGAGGGGTGGTTTGTCAGTAAGAGGGAAGGTGTTATGTATCATGGCTTCCTTCATGTGAATGAAAGAAAACTGTGGCATGTAATAGCAATATATTATGCATTACCTGGTTCTTTGTGGCATGCAGTAGCAAGATTTTTACTTGCTATAGAAATTTTTTATTTCACTTTCTTTAGCCATGCTGTAAGAAAATTTTGCAACATGAAGTTGATTTGTAAGAGGGTTTACTGTAAACAGTTTAAATACTTTTTCCTTGAAGACTTAATACATAGACTCATATTGTTAAAAATGTGTGATCCTAATATTTATTGTGTTTGCTGTAGAGTACCTTATAATTTTACAATTAGATCACTTAAGGATTTACTTAAGATTGAAAATATTGTGTATTTGGTCTGTTGTCATTTATCATTGGTACTTAGTCTATTATATGAATGATTTTGTAAGTATTCTGGTGGCAGTAAAAATAAATTCTTAATTATCTAGCAGGGAAATGCAGTGAAGAGTGGAGTAAGGTGCTGCATATGCAAGGCTACATTTAGCCATTTTGAGCAGCTAGCATCTCACTCTCTTGATGTCCACCAGCTTCCTGAGCCTCGCTGTATGTGCCCACAGTGCCCTCGGACATTTCCTAAAATTTCTTCGATGAACAACCATCAACGTAGAAAACATCAAAACTCATTGCAGGGGTAGGTTCTATATTAATAGATGAAATTATATTTTTCTTTAAAATTCAGCCTGGTGGCTAAAGCTCTCACCTCACATGGCGAGGGTCCAGGTTCGTAGTCCCAGCGAGGGTAGAAACATTTGGGGGCGTGTTTCTTACACTGGGTCGTCTATGTGCCCCCGTCAGTAAAATGGGTACCTGGAGTTAGTCCAAACTGGTTGTGGGTTGCCTTTTGGACCAAAACTGGCATAATTTGCTTGAAAATTGCGCTGCATAACAAGCGGGTTTCTGTGTAGTAGTAAAGTAATGTGTCATTGATGTCAACTAGGTGTTCTGTGTACCTTGACATTTACATCTAGAAATAGATATTATTTTATTTTTGTGTACAATCCATTCCTTTCAGAGGCTATCAATTCTTTACTTTGCAAGGAAGGTTCTGTGATGTCATGTAAAGGCTCCTTGATTCCAAGGAATTAGAGCTATCCTTACCACTCCTTGGATCAAAACTGGGTTATTTAATTTTATTTTTAAAAGCTTGCATAAAAAATACCTTCCCTTGATTGCTCCAAGAGTAAGTCACTGTATTTTCATCTAAAGAATTTATTTTATCATTTTTACCAATTTAAAATTTCACACATGCGCTGAGCTCTAACCTCAGGCAACATAAAAAGTTATATAAATAAGGCCTTAAAATCATATTTAAAAAAATAATGGCCATGAGCTGGTTCTTGAATATTCATAAATATTCAGGTATTTGTTTTAGTTTTTCAATCTAATTTATGAAAAACCTAAAACTTAAAGTTACTATGTACTTGTTACCAATTTCATCTTAAGTCGCAATAACTTTTGTTTAAATTTCCAGGTTAAACCTCGTGATGGCATACCACACCAGGTGTGTGGCCCTTGTGGCTAAGTTGGATGAAGTGGTGGAGTTTATGGATAATCAGCCAGGCCACACAAATACACTGAAAAATCAATTAAAATATGTAACAAAATGTGTAACACTTTTTGAAAATAGAAATTATTTTTTGTACGTACATGTACTGTACTTCGAAAGCTTTTGGTTACTTTTTCAGTGATATGTTCAAATGCTTACATTATACTGACCCCTGGTATACGATAATAATTCGTTCCTGAGAGCTCATCGTATGCCAAAATTATCAGACGAAGGCGAATTAATTTTTCCCCATAAGAAAAAATGGAAATCCATATTAATCCTTGCAAGACACCCAAAAGTACTAATGAAAAAAAAAGTTTTACTCACATTGAAATATAAAATAAATTTAATGCACACAAACTTGAAGAATACATGCCTAGACTGTAGTACTCTACTAACAATAGAATACAACCTACCATCCGACTTACGACCTGCTTGAACTTACGACCACTCGTCTTACGAACCGTGTTTTTTTATGGGTCAAATTTCTGGGAAATAAACAACTTAATTTGTATATGTACACAGTGTTTTAAATTCCCTTAATTGACTACTTCATGGTCAGAGGAAAGAAAAGTCTCCCTGATAACATGAGTATACATAAGTGTATAGTGTATACTACAGTGGCCTGCCCTATATATTGATGATAAAGCTAAAGTGTCATTTGAAAACAGTGAATTTGTAAATGAAGTGAAAGCCTATAGAGGCAGTGCCAGAAGTCGCCAGAACTACCACAGGTCATCAGTTTTTTAATAATCTTCCTGGCCTGCAAGTTTACTCGCATTATAATCTAGTGATACCAGTGATTAGAGAATCACAGTGTTTTAGTTGACCAACTAACCAGTATTATATGGTACTTAGTGGAGTGGAGTGACTTACATTAAGTTTCTTTTCTTGAAATACGGACGTTAAACTGAGAAATTTTCATATAACCTGTAGGTTACCGTATGCAGTCGAAATATACACAACGAGAAGCAATTTTATACTACATGAAAAAATCGTCCTTCTCCAAAATTTGCAACCATCAACTATAGTGATAATAAACATTTATTGTGGTGGAGAACAGAAAGGGGAAAAAAAGAAAAAAAAAAAAAAAAAAAAAAAAAGAGAAAAGCCAGATAAGCGATTGATAAAACAAGGAGGTGACCGATCGTCATTAGGAGCTGCCTGATTCACCGCCTCTTCAAACACGCAAGTTATACTTTAGTAGTATCAGTCAAATCACGCTATATCTCTCGGGTAGATACATTTCCAGTAGAATTCCTTCATGTGTTAGTCAAATCACGACCAGTATGTTTTAAAAATAAGTGACCCACTGATCAGAGCAGATCGTCTGGCCCGAACCTTTCCTGTCCGAACCCTTGACTGGCCGAACCCGGGACTGGTTTCAAAACATTTCGTTGGACAATCAAGCAGACTGTAAACTAATGGGTTTTAGGCGCCCTATAACCACAAAACATAAAAATCAAGGAACGTGAACGTAAGCTGTCCATATACAAAAAGAGTTAGAAACAGAAATACAAATAGCTAGAGCTTCATTTAGGTTATTAATAGAATTTTCAAGAGTTTGCAAGTAGAAATGCAGTAAATCAACCATTCAAATCAATATAGCCCTGTGTAGTCCTGTGGGTCATCAACACACGGCTTCCACAAGGATAAATTGTCATTTTTGTGGAATTGGTGTCACGCCCCTTGAGGCAGCAATCCCCAGCACAGCTACAAGCAGTATTAAAACAGAGAAGTGTTTTTGGGATCCTCCAATGAGGAAAAACTGTGACTAAATCACAAGGGTATTAAAAGAGGACACCATCAAGCTGCTTTCAATAGAAAACCTGGAAGCTTTCTACAACAGATGGGAACCATAAAAATCCGGGCTGAATGGTACTGTCCTTGATACTGGCCATGTAGTCATAAACCTGTAAGCTGGAGGTGATTTCCTGGTAGTCAGTAAATGTGGGCTGATAGTGCTGTCCTGGGAGACAGTAATGGTGAAACTGGATGGTGCTGGTCCTGGGGAACTGTAATGAGAAGCTGGAGGTGCTGTCCTGGGATAACAGTAATGGGTGAAGCTGGAGTCAGTCCCCCGGGAGACAGTAATGGTGAAGCTGGAGGTGCTGTCCTGGGAGACAGAAATGGTGAAGCTGGAGATACTGTCCGGGGAGACAGAAATGGTGAAGCAGGAGGTGCTGTCCTGGGAGACAGAAAAATGGTGAAGCTGGAGAAACTGTCCTGGGAAGACAGTAATGGGTGAAGGCTGGAGGTTCTGTCCTGTGGTAGACCGAAATGGTGAAAGCTGGAGATACTGTCCTGGGAGACAGAAATGTGAAGCGGAGAAATGTCCAGGGATCCGGGATTATACGCAGGAAGGAATACATATAAATGACCTCATAGGGGACAGGAGCCATATGTAAGGGAAAAAGTGTAGTGTCACAAAGATCAGATAAAACCAATATTGCAAACTAGAAATACCGCAGGAATACAAAAAGAGGACTCCATAGCAATAGTGAGGATATATTACCAAAAACAACTGTGGGAGGCTCCATTGTTGGTTGCTAGGGAGGATAGAAATTAAGACAGGGAAAACATGCACCAACAGGAATACAGTCACAGAAACACAAGGCAAGCGGAAACCAAGACTGTGCACATAACTATGGCAACGGTATCTGCTGGCATGGAAATCTGGAAAAAACAGATGGGGGACAAATGCAACTATGACCACCCTAGAAAATGCCAGGCCCATATGAAAACAGGAAAATGCAAACTCCTTCCTTAAGCTTTTATTCACCCCTTGAAATGTGTACCGTCTACAGTACAGGAAAGACTGGCTATAACTTTAAATTGCCAGTCATACCATCCTAAAGGGGGACAAAAAAGATACAAAAAAAAAAAAAGAACCAAAATCCCAGGCCAGGGGAAAACCTGGTTGCCACAAGCCACTCAAGAGGAGAGGTTTTTTAGTGCCAGGTAAGGAAAAAAAACAGCAGGAAATGGCAGAATCGTACACCAAAATCCAGTCCATTTCCTGGAGTGGCACCACAGTCGATGGCTCCACTCCAAACCACAGATACAGATACAAATGCCGAAAAAAAATCCCCCATCCCCGCCCCTACCCAGTACCAACAATACCACCATCCGATAACATTCTATATTTGCAAATATACAGGGTCTAAAGCCCAGCTACAAACAACAAAATACCTTTCATCCGTGACTGCTTGCAGAGCAAAGGCAATTGTTCGCGGCTTTCAACTGAGACCCACCATAAAGGATCACTTGACAACGAAGTATGGATCCCAGTTACAACCTATAACAGATGTGGACAGAGTGAACATCAAAAGGGGGTGGGTTTGGCCTGTACATTGCAGAGTCACTTGTTTGCACAGAACTGCTTAATGCCTCAAATGACGTAGTGGAAGTTTTAGAGCTAGTAAAGGTCGAGACCAAAAACCTAGTTCATTGTGGTAGTCTACAAGCTCCGATGCAACATCCCAGCAATTTCCAGGAACACTGTTAAAAATTGACCACTGTCTGGAAATCTTCCAGCTCCCTGCAACCCAACAACACGCACCATGGGGGATTTCAACTAAGGCACCTAAATGGATGATATGCAAATAATATTGTTGCAGAAATAACACCAGGAGGCAGCTCTGAATGGAAACTCACAACTCACACGAGCTTTTTAAATCTCTGCACAAAATTCAATTTAAAACCAGCAAATAATAGAGCCTACAAGACTGGAGAATACACTAGACTCATCTTCACTAAACCAATGATGAATCTGATAGAAATGTCCACCATATCATAACATATACACAGAATCACAACATAATTGGAGGTTCAGACATGTATGCATGGAGCCCCAGAACCGACAAAATGAGACTAGTCATGAGGGTTGCATTCACCAAATTTCAAACTTCAAATAACAAAACAAAAAGTGGGACCAAGTAAACCAAGTCCCTTAACCGATATAAGCTGTAATGTATATACTAAGCAACACAGACCCAACTTATTTGCCTAGAACAGATTAACTCGTGGCACTCTCGATGTATGCACAAGGCTTATTCCTCTATAAAAAAGAGGAGTAATGTAAA